GGGGCTGAGCCCTAGCCAACAATTGTTTATACAAAATAATGAACGTAAGCAATAATTACAGCCGAGCTGCGTAGCTTATAATTTGGCATATGGGTTGATCAAGCCGATGGCTCCCACGCGCCGTAACTGTAAACTATTAACTGTTAGCTCGAGGACTGTAATTTGAATGAGTAAATAGAATTTCCCTGGGCTATAAAAGTGCGTGCTGGCACCCGTTCAGCTGAAAGTCCAGAAGGAACGCCCGACCATGCCGCTGGCCAAGATGGATAGCTTCATGAAGTATGCCAACTTCTTCTACAAGTGCGTTGGCATTGAGCCCTATTCGAGCCGCACGCGCCCCAAAGCAGCATCGGCTTGGATTAGCTTTGTCTTTTGGGCAAACATCGTTAATGTGGTCTTTATAATGATAGCCGAGTCGTCCTTTGTGGTGAAAGCCCTCGTCGTTGACAAGGAAATTGTGCTGGCCGTCATGGTCATGTCCTACATAGGCTTCATCGTGGTGGGCCTCAGCAAAATGTTCTTCGTTTGGCTGAATAAGGCGACACTCAGCCACATCATTCGGGACCTAGAGGATTTGTTTCCACGCGACAAGCCAGCGCAGGTTGCCTGTAAACTGGATTATTACTTGAGCTCCTGCTCCCGCATCAGCTTCACGTTTTCCATGCTCTACTCCGTGCTCATCTGGACGTTTAATCTGTTTAATCTCATACAGTACGTCATCTACGACTGGTGGCTGCAGACGCGCGTTGTTCCCGAAACGCTGCCCTATCCCGTCTACGTACCCTGGGACACGGGGCACGGCTTGAACTACCTGGTGATGCTCTTCAATCAGAACTTTGCTGGTTACACCTCCGCGGCGGGTCAGGTGTCTACGGATCTGCTGCTCTGCGCCGTTGCCACCCAGATCATCATGCACTTCAACTATCTCTCACAAAAGTTTGTGGATCACCAGCTGACCGGCGATTGGGCGCAGGACTCGCGCTTCCTCTCCGAAGTCGTGCACTATCACAATCGCCTGCTACGCCTCTCCGATCAACTAAACGAGATATTCGGTGTCCCTTTGATATTGAACTTTCTGATCTCCTCGTTTGTGCTCTGCTTTGTGAGCTTTCAACTGACCGTGGGTGTGAAGCCCGACGAGGCGATCAAGCTGCTCTTGTTTCTCGTATCCTCCCTGTGCCAGGCCTACTTGATTTGCTATCATGGACAACTGATAGTTGACGCGGTAAAGGCAAATACCTACTACATCGTGGCTATATTTTCAGAACTCGAGCAATTTTTCTTCTGGCCCTTTCTTGGCCTACAAATTCAATGGGAGCACTAGTTTATGCTGCTTCAAAGCTAAATTTGTTTCTTTTTGGCCCATGGTAAGTTTTGGCTAAGGATTTAAACTTGGCGCTATATATGGTGTTAAAAAATGTTTATGACAGGTTGCCTTTTCGGGAAAGAACCCGTTGATTGTTTAATTTGCGCTATTTGGATTTGCAGCAGTGTTATATTATACGACTTAGCCACTATACCAAATATTAAACTATAGCAAAAGCTCGTACTAGTCTGGTTTATTTAATTTATTTTTGTTAGTTTTGTAAATCAAAAGGTAATTTTCTTATCTACATATATTTTACTATTTACATTTTAATTTCAATGAATAGTATGTGTTATTTGCGTTTGAAGTTTTATATATGTACATACATACATACATAAATGTATGTATGTGCATACACATGTAGCATGTTCATTTAATTCCACGTGCTCATCTTTCGTTTTTGATCGAGCAAAACATACTCACAAAATTGGCATGCGTCCTCCTTCTGCCTCATAGCTACGCAGTCTCTCTTGCTACAACGTGAGGCACAAGGCACAAGAAGGAAGAGCGTAGAAGAGAATATGGGACATACAAATTACGCATTAGCACATCTCTTCTGTTTTGTCGCTTCTCTCTTAGTGATGGCACATTAGATTAGAGATCGCATGTTTCTGTTGTTGCTAGAACGTAATGATATTCATAAATGAAAAACATAAGCAATACATTTGCATTCTTCAATGAATCAGCTCTTCACCATGGTTAACCTTTTCCATTCAGAGCTCTAGCTTTTCTATGGCGGCCTATAATCAGAACTGGATCAAGGCGGATGTGCGCTACCGCAAAGCTCTTGTCTTTATCATGATGCGCTCTCAGAAGCCAACTTATCTGAAGGCAACTGTGTTTATACAGATCACCAGAGGCACCATGACTGATGTAAGTTTCATGAGAAAGTCGAAGTCAATAGCAGCTTTAGAAATCAGATTTACCTAAAAGAAATTTTCATTAATGAAGTGTGTATCGATTAATATTCTTATGGATTGTTCATCACTGTTCATTGTTCATTACTCAAAAGTTCAACTATATACATATATATTTTCGGTATATTTTCTTGATTTGTTTTAGCATTTTGCTGATTTGGTTTTTTGTATGTCCATTAACTTTTTGTTTCTGCTCAAATTTTGTTTTACAGCTGCTGCAATTGTCGTACAAGTTTTTTGCGCTGCTCCGCACGATGTACGTCAAATAGATTTGCTCATCAAATATATGTATGTATATAGTAATTGCTCGAAAGCCTCTACACATTCCGCATGCTTTTAAAGGATCAAGTCGCGCTCATGGTCCCAGGTCTTCATTATGCAAACACATGTTCATCCTCGTGCATTAGCTGGATTCTCGAAAAACAAGCTGGACAAAAAAGAATAAAATGAAATAAATAAAAAAAGGGACGATAAAAAGACTGTTCATGACATATTGAATATACACTATGGCTTGGAAGGGATTTAAATGAGTCGAAATGGTAAAAGCCTTATCTGAACTATTTTATCAATATTTAAAATATCGAAGGAGTGACGAAAGATGGTAGAATTGTGTTTGAAATCAGTCTTATGGTCAACAGTATATACGTTAATATATCAGAGTATACGGTATAGTATAGTCTAAAATTTGGCCTTTATTTCACTTTTATAAAGTCTAGCTCATTACATAATAGTAGAGCTTGCAGTTATACGCTAAATAATTTTCGATATGATATAAAGTAAAGATATGACATATAGTAGTAAAGTATTTTCTTGTTTGTTAATAATACAAACAATAAGCAAGTTTGTGGTGTTAGATAGATAGCTGGATGCCAACATCAAGTTCTTCCATGTATGTCAAAATCCTTAACATATTCAAAGTACCTCTTCTGCAGAGTATAGTATATGGGAATGCCGCCTAGTTTGAGTGCGTGTTTGCTGTGGGAAGTATTCGCCAGTTGGCTAGTACAGCATTTGACGCTTTTGGCTGGCAAAAGTTGCATTTTATGAGTTTTTCAGCTGTATTATATATTTGTTGTTGTTGTTGATGTTTTTGTTGTTGTCGTCTTTGTTGTTGTTTTAATATGTTGCTCCTGCTTGGCGCACTGAATGTCGACGTTTTGCAACAAAACGTTCTGATTGCATGTAATGCACTTTCTATAAACTGTGTGTGGCTGGGCGAGTGAGTGTGTGTGTGTGTGTGCTTGAGTGTGTTGACTACGCACTCAGAAATATTAGCAATTTATGCGCTGGAGTGTGCGAACTGTTAAAAAGCGAGAAACGACAGCGACATTGCGAGCTGCGCGACAGCGTCGCCTTTTGCTTCCTACGTCTTCCCAGCCAACCACAGAGGTTGGCAGTGGCCGAGCGAATGGGAAATAGGAAATGGCTATATTATCGACAGGGCTGCCTGCTTGGCAGTTGGCAGTTGGCAGTTGGCTCACAATAAATCCGACATGCGGCGCGCAATTTGATGAATTTATGAATCACCTGCAGCTGGCAGCCCGGACAACTTGCGCCTCAGTTCACCGCCCGCTCATAAAATATATATAAAAAAAAAAATATGTTCATTACATATAGAATTGTACATATATTCTCTTTTCCTAGATATAATATTGTGTGATACTATCGTATTTCATATTTATTTTCTTTGTAAAATATGTGTGTACGCTTCCATTTTGCCTGGGTCTTTGCGGTTTTTTTTTTCGTTTTTTATAAAATTTTTATAAAGCTTCGTCTGTGTGCGGCAATATTTAATTTCTGGTCACGTCTTGTGTGATTTTCAAATGCCAGCAACAGCAACAAGCATTTTCAATATCGCCGGCGCTGTTTTGTTTGCTTGCCAATTCGTGTGCTCTATCATGGTGCATGTTTCAAAATATCCAAGCAAGTCGCAAAATATTGACCAGGCGAGAATCAAATAATCAGAAAACGCGCCGCTAGGCCAAGTAACTGAAAGTTGCATAAAACGTGAATCATAAATGTTTCAACTCAATTATATATTATAAATGTAGTGTAGAGTCTAAAATGTTAATGTAGGGAAGCCAGTTGCTAAGTAGGCAGTCCACAACAAAGATGTAATTTGTATAGTTATTAAATTGTGGATAATTTAGTTTTCCTTTATTTGCGTCATCCATCAATATATGTATTATTTTTATACCCTGAACCCATTGAAAATGGGAAATCAGGGTATAATGGTTTTGTGAAAAGTATGTAACAGGCAGAAGGAATCATCGCAGACCCCATAAAGTATATGTATTCTTGATCAGGACGACGAGCTGAGTCGATATAGCCCTGTCCGTCTGTCCGTCCGTCCGT